AAAAGGGGTAATGCTCATCCATCCTAGGCTATGCACAATGTGAATAAGGATTCAACTCTTCTTATGATCTAATAAAACATGAAACATCTTTTATCTATAAGCTCTAAACATGAGCTTAAAGAGGAGAACCTATTGCTGAGAATTCAAAGTTGTCTAAGGCTTAACCTGAGCTTTTTTGTTTCTCTCATTAAAAAAAAATTAAATAATAAAGCACCTCAATAGCGCAGCCAGCACAGTCTGCCATACCTCACGTTGTTACAGGCCGTTGCGCTTTGCCTGTTTTTTTTTTTTTTTTTTTTAATGCCATGCCCTCCACAAGACTATATAGCCCCAACGACAGCCAAATAATAATGAATCATTTCATAAATAATGGGTTTAGGGGCTTATCGGGAATGAAGAGGCCGCTGCCGTGCGCTTATCTCACTCGGCCACATTGCGGCCTGTGTTCCGCTCCCCATACAGAGAGGGAGCTCACTGGATGCGGCGGGGAATAACTCTCTCTCTCTCTCTCACACACACACACACGCACACACACACACGCATACTGCTCCACAACTGGTAGGAAAAAAAAGAAAAACCTCAGACATGGATGACCCGCTCACAAAATGGCTCCACTTACACAGTAACATCAACAACACGGCTGAAACGGTAAGGAATCCCTCTCCATGTTTAACCCGCCGCTTGCGTCGCTCCTGTTGTCGCGGTAGCCATGGCATCGGGTGTATTTTATTGCTCTAATGGTCTAAATGTTTCTTCTGTATTTTCTAATATTGTCCGACCGGGTCGAGGCTGTATAGAGAGAAACGGATGCGAGGCCTGCAGAAGAAATCCCCGAAATAAGAAAAAAACGCGACTATTGTCCTCTGTTCGGTGTTTGTTTTTTTAACATTTGCAGCGTTTTATTCCGTTTTATTATACCTAGGACACCTAAAGCTGATATAAAGTGGGTGAAAAATTGAGTATTAAACTCCAAATATCCGTTGTAGCAATAATAGTATTATGGCCGTCCCAGAGAAAATACATCTACAAATAATTTCTTATTCCTGTTTAGAAAAAACAATACAAACAAACCAACAATCCGATCCAACCGATGGACTATATTAGAAGAAAATCTGAGAAAATATACCTTATTTTTATGTATAAATAGAGACCGTGTCTATGACGAAAAAAAACAGTTATCCTATACAAATAAAGAGCTGCATCTAATTTTTGGTTTATAAAACGCGAATTATAATAAAACGTGATTTACACACAAAGAAAAAAAATACATTCTCTATAGTGGACAACATTACTGTGAAGCAAACATTAAATTAGGAATAATTAAGGATAACTTGGTAGCCTGTCGTGGAAAAAAAAATACCTGAACAACCTTCATCTTATTGGGAATATATTTAGCTCTGAAAAATAGTTGTATATTCTAATAAAAAGTAGGCGGTACGAATTTTTAAGATGAAGGTAGAATTATAATCCTGGAGGCATTTTTATTTCCATCGTTTTGGTAATTCGAATAGCTGAGAATTAGATATTAAATAAATAAAAATACATCTAAAAAAAGCGAGCTTAACTGGTTAAACAAAAAGATAAAACAATACCAGTGCAACGATATTTTGGACGGGTTTTTTGTTTGTTTTGCATTGATCTGCCTATAGTTTTAATTTTGCATTAGATATTAATATCTGTTTGATTGTGAAAGCGCTGTTAGATTAATATTAATCAATAACTTGTATTTCTAAGGACGGAAAAAAATAAATTGGTGAGAAATTGTGATATGTTTAGACGATTAATTAAGGAAATGTTTTCTTTAGGATTTTGTGGGAGTTTAAAAAGGGTCACGGTGTAAAAATGATGGAAAAACGGGAGCAGGAGCTTTGTCCTGGAAGTCCCGACGCAGGATCCGGTCCTGGAAAGCGAGAAGACTCGGCCATCATCTCTAGACACAACGGATACAAGGAGGAAGAGGAGCCGGTGAGAGAAAGGGGGGAGGAGGGAGATGAGGAGGAGGAAGAGGAGGAGGAGGAGCAGGCGGACGAGAAGGAGAGGGGAGGGAGCTTCAAAGGGGCTGAGGAGACGGATGACGTTCCGCTGCAGAACTCGAGCAACGGGTCCAGCATCAGCATCATCATCAACGGCGTTGCCAGGGAAACTGCCTCTCTCAACGCCCTTGACCTGAAAAGGGAAGTACCGGTGATCGAGCTCTCCAGGAGGGACGCTATAAAAGCGCTGGAGCAGAGGACGGAGAGCCATTTCGTGCCGATCACCGAACTCCGCAGACCTCCACCGCTGCCATTGCCGCCGCCGCATCGAGACAACGCTCGAATGGTCCAGCTGAGCCCAAACGCGTTCCCTGTCCCGGCCCGGGCGATGCTCTACAACCTGGCGCAGCCTCTTGCCGCCATCAACAGGTACTAATGAAACCAGAAAAAAATTCCTATTTTACCTCCACGTAATATCTCTGAATTATGGATGTAAAGTTGTTCAGAAAGATGTTAAATGAGAAAAAAGCTGTGCATCAATTTATATCTTTGTTCATCAATGTATTAAAAGTTGTAAGTGATGCAACGATGTTTATCTCTTATATCTCATTGATCTGTATATATTTTTTCCCCTCTTTTCCTTTTTTATCTTTTTTATTTTTTGTAGTCTTGGAGGAGAGTCAGAGCAGTACAGCATGTACCCCAGCAACAGGGTAAAGCGCCGCCCGGCGCCTTATGAGGTTGAACTCGACGAGGGTAGGCGCATTTTAGATCTTTATAAGTATGGTAAGATGCACTTCTGCTGTGTGCTCCTTCTGCCAGTACAGTCCCTCCCCCTATAAGTGTCTCTCCCTCATCTCCATTGTCATTCCTCCACTGACATGGACGTATAGGCCTACTGTTCCCAGTCTGCAGAAGATGCACTGCAAAGGGGAAAAAATGAGTTGAATAAGAATAGCAATTCTTCCTCACAGAGCACATTTCTACCTGGAATATCAATAAAATTACCCATTATAAGGTACACTTGGAGTACATTTGAAACATTATTTCCAGTGGTGCCCACGCACTGTCATAAAAGGGAGGAGAATTGGGGTGCTGCTGCCTCCATGCCAAGGTTTTACTGCAGAGTGGGCTGAAGGATTAAGATAACCTGGGTGTGTTCCAAGAGCAACAATAACCAAAAAGCCACTTCTATTGGGGGTGGAATAATAAGACTACCTGCAAAGCTTTTTAGTGTGTATTAAAATATATATATAGAGAGAGGGATTGAAGAAAGGGATTAACACATCCTCCCAAAGTACATTCCATGAGGTATGGCAGGAAAAAAGAAATCTGTGTCTCTTTGTATTTTTTAAACATCTATGTTTACTTTTGAGAGCTTGGCACTCAATAGTTGAAGTTTGACTTTTTTTATTTTACCTTTAGAGAAGCATTCAGGTTGATCTAGCTTAACACAAACTTAATCGTTTAAATGATGAGGTTAGAACTCCCATAAACACAGTTATTTCCTACACCTACACTAAGCAGACGATTCTTTTATCCTGAAATCCTTAGTTGCACATGTGGTGGATTTCTATCTGCAATTTCTGATAACTGAAGCTGATTAAAAAAAAATTGTTTTACCCACATGAAGATTATTATTGTGTCTTATACAAACAACGTAAACACACACTCCCAGCCATTCACATATGAAGCTTGAAGTTTGGCTACAATAATAGGTTTTGTATTTAAAAAAAATCTCTGCATTTAGGACAGTTTAATAAATATTATTTTAAAAAGGGAGTTTCAGATAATTTTTTCTACCCATTTACAAAAAGCATTTCGGTGTGTCAAAATTATTCATAGATTTTGAAATAATCCAAATATATTTAACCCTTGAGAGTTGTGCAGGCAAATTAAATTAGTTCTTATATTTAAACTCTGACCATGCTGAACAGTGACTATTTATATGCAAAGTTAACACACTCTCACTAATTCACTTAATGTTGAAATGTAAACAAAATTAAGAATTAATTTTATTTTTTAGAACTCACAATAGCCAGGATAAGTTTGCGATTTTTATGAAAAAATGTTTTTTTTTTTATTTCACCACATTAGTGTATCTTAATAAATAAATACTCATTAAATTTAGAGTACAAAATGAGTTTAAATGCCATTTACCCTTAATTTTTGTTGAGCTAAATGAGGGATTTCTTATATAATTAAAAAATCTTTGGATGTATTGAGGACAGATTTACAAATTTTGGGTTGTCTTGGTTTGTTTTTTCTCATAAGTGTTGTGCACATTTTTTGCTGCTTTAATTCTCTACTCTTTTGAAGATGTGCCATTTTAAAATAAAGACAAAAATTTAGTAACAATCTCATATTGTGTTTTATTTTAGTTTTACTGCCATGTTAACCTACACCATTCATTTCTGTCTTCTTTTGTCTTTCCATGTCCTTTCCATGTCAGCTGGCCAGCCAAAGATTGTGCGTCGCATCTTCACAAACAGCCGTGAGCGTTGGCGGCAACAGAATGTAAACGGTGCATTTGCAGAGCTCCGCAAACTCATCCCCACTCACCCTCCGGACAAGAAACTGAGCAAAAATGAGATTCTGAGACTTGCTATGAAGTACATCAGCTTCCTCTCTAACCTTTTGGAAGACCAGGACGGGGGAAGAAATGTCGGCAGCACAACTGAAGGGGACACAGGCCTGCTGGTTGGTGTTCCGACCCATGAGGGAGGCCCTCAGGGTGCTCCACACCAAGAAACAGCGGTGGACCTAGTAAGGGATGATCTTCTGGAGACGATGTCACCAGGTTCCAGCTGTGGTAGCCTACCTGATGGCGATGCTGAGGGGAGTCCCGAGAGCTTCATGGAGGACCAGGACTCACCTCCAGCAACAAGGACTCTAACAGCCTCCCGCGGACCCTCACTGCATCTGGCAACTAGGGATCTGAGGCGTAATGGACGGCCATTAGATGGTTCCAGCCGACGATGATGCTTACACTAGGAGATCATATTTATGACGTCAAAGACTAAATAAAAGAAACTACAGACCATGTGAAAAGTAGATTTCCTTAAAACCCTTTATCTTGAAGTAATCGGTTAAGGAAGAATTGTCTTAAACATAGAAAGTGAAACATGCACCTGAGACAATACAGTTAAATATCGTAGTTTAATTTGATCCACTTGTAAATTCTGCATGTTTCATGCTCTTAGCCGACTCTAAGACTATACATTTCTACATGTTGGAAGTTCCAAAGACACTGTGTGAAATGAAAGCATAGAAAAAAATTAATGAGGCAAAGAAATATCTTAAATCAAGCACCCATCATTTAGGAGATGTTCAGTAAGGAGTTAATTGTGTGCTAAGCCTGCAATCACCATTGATTACAAAACAATGCATTTGGTATAGAACCACTTCGTTAAAAAAATTCTGCAGGAAACCTGACCTAAAATGCCAAGACATAAACTTCAAAGTGAAAGTAGAACCACTTTCATTGGAAAGCAAAATAATGATAAAACACATTTACTAGAAGCTGTTACAGTCCAGTTCGTCTGATCTAGTTTACGTATGTATTGTAAATTGTATATATTTCCACTGCGCATCATAATGAGAATGACTTCCTTGCGACGAGGTTTCCGATGTAACATAGCGGGTTTGTTAATAGGTTTGTCATCGAAAATGTCTTTTAAGTGACAAGATTTAAGAAAACAGGGGAAAACAGGAAATGTAAACATCAATGTAAAACTATTACAGGAGGATGAAAGTGCATCAAATGTGGTACCACTTCAGTCACATTAGACTGTATGATTAGAAAATCATACAAAATATTTTAACAGACTGTCAACCAATTACACTTTGTGTAAAATAACAACAAAAACCCATGTATTTGAAATTGTTGTGGAGGTACAATATAGACAGTGCTCTTAAAGTGTACAAAACGTGGGTCAGATGAAATCTTGAGGTGACTCATGAAGTCGTTTTGATATGAATGTTTTCATGTTTTTTTTAAACTATAATGCAAATGTAGTTTAGCAAGGTACACAAATAAGTCCCTTTGTTTCAGTATTACATGTGTACATGTACACTCCCACCACACCTACTACCCCCTTCACCCCACCCCCATCCTATTCTCCACTACCTTGCAGTATTAATATAACAAGAACACCAGCAGTTTTCTGGAAGTTAAGTATTGCTCACTGCTGTTGGTTATTCTGCTTTTGTAGCAGAACCTGGTAGCTTATCTTGGTACCTTTGGTATTTTATGAATAACAATAAAGGAACATTGTACGTTTGGTAATGACATATTTGTTGTATGATAGCTGTACCTATAAATATATACAATGTTAAAGGGATGGATTTTATACAAAAACAGAATAAAATATGCAGCGGAAGAATGAATTTTTCTGTGGTTTATATCCATTGTAATTTAATTCTGTTTCAATTTTATTCCATTTCATTAGATATCAGTTCGGTTTGCTTCATTTCGATTTTCTTCAATTCAGTTTTGATTAGGTCAACTAGGTTCAATTCAGTTTATTTCAGTTCAACGTAATCCAACTGAGTTCAATTGAATTTAGTTAATTGTGATCAAACTAACTGGAGTATAGTTGGATTAAATTCAGTTAAAATTATTTCCATTCAAAGCAGTTCAATTCAGGCCAGGTAAATTTGATCAAAATCAATTTAGTTTAGTTCAGTATAGCTCAACACAATTAATTTCAGTTAAGTTCAACAAGTCAAATTTTTTAAAAATTTAATGTTATAAGAAAATTCGATTTCATTTAATTAGTTTCCATTTAGTTTGGTTAAATTCTATTCACATTTTTAGATACACTTCAGACAAATTCTATTATATTCATTTAGGTTGTTTTTAGTTTTTATAACTTATTTCTCTTAAACACCATTCAGAGTCAATTAATTTCCGTCTTAATTAACAGTTCAGTTAATTGTAACATCATCTTAATGTAGTTAGGTTTGATAAAACTCACTAGAGTTCTAATTATTTGAAGTGTGATTATATGAGTTATGATCACTCTATAGTTTGAGAAATGATGTGTATTCATCATCTGTTAGGTTTTTTAATAATACAGCTGTAAAAGATAAATTCTTTTTTGTAATGTTATGCCAAGCATCTTTTTCCCGCCTTATCTGGACATAGTTTTAAGTTAAAAACCACCACCTCCTTTGAGAAACTCCCTCAGTGGGCGCTGCAACCCTCACTTCCACCTCCAACAAGTGACAACTTCCTGTGGAGGTTACCATGGCTTGCTGACCTGCAGGATATCCTGCCATTGTGAAAGTGGTTTTTACAGCCTCTACTGCACTCGTTTGACCATTGTTGTGTCTGCATTTTTGTTAAAACAGGCTTTAACATCAAGAATTCACTAGCCGTAAATAAGTCTCTAGAGCCATGGAAAATTCTCCGTGGCTTCGCTAAGTTGTCTTTTATTAAGAACCCCCCCCCCACCCCAAAATAAAAATAAATATATGTCTCTTCATGTTAAGTTTATTTTAACTTTGTTCGACGGGCCGTCTTACCAACTACTACCTCAATGCTGCGCACTCAGACAATTCCAAAGGCTATAATTGCTTCCAGAGAGCATCAGAGACATCCAGGTGTTTGGAGACCTCTCCTGTGCTTCACTCTGGCTTAGCCGCAACTCCACTGAGGGGCACTCTAGGTTAATGCCTGCCAAACGTTTACCTGCTTCAGTTTTCCTGACTCTCAGAAAAGACGCAGCCTCACAAAAGGGAAGGATAGAGGGAGTATATGAGGGATTGAAAGCCAGGGAGGGAAAGGATGTGTGAGAGTGCATGTTTATGTGTTTTTATGTGTATGTGAGCGCTGGATGGTGTGTATGTGTCTGATTTCCATGGATCTGTTGGTGTGAGCCATGTATATGAGTGTGTATGTGTGTACGTTTATCAGCTCTGTGCAGATGGGTGGCAGAGTGGCTCTTGCAGCCAAATGATTCAGTATGCTAATGAGTTGTTATCTGTGGTGCTGCAGGAACAATATACTGTCTTTCTCACAGTGGGAATCCAGCCTGCTGGGAACAGATTACACTGCACACACCGCCAAGGTAGTTATTTATATTTTCACATCGAGTAGTTGAAAATACATAAATGTACAAACGCACTTAGACACTTGCACACATTTCTGCCACTGGGCGTGTGTGTGTGTTTGCTTAAGCAAACAAGCAAAATAACATTTCGACAAACAGACACAAATATAGCACAATCACCATAAGCAGCAGCAAACATAGGATGGAAATTTGACAAACACCTTGGGTCCTTTAGCAGAGGATGGAGACGTCATGAGCGTTTCTCTTTAACAGGTATCATTGTTATTTCTGTCTTATTTACATTAATGTGTACAAATGCTGTTCTACTAATTATAAGGAACTCTTAATTAAAACAGAATGCTCCTCATTAGATATGTGACATTAAAGAAAGATATTCTTTGTCAATTCTGTTTTGGGTAAGTGAGACAAATGTTTTTGAAGGAATTAACTAATTTTGCTCCCATTTTATAAAAAACTCGTAAAATGTCTTTAACTGGACTAAAAAATAGACATATTTCTATTTACTAATCTTTATTCCAATCCATCCACAGATCATGAACATTGATGCCTTTTGTGACTTTATTAAACACAAAATATCATTAAAATGTTGTACATATAATATAATATAATATATTTTCCAGAATTGAGCTGCTCTAGGTGGTTGAACGTAGAAGCAGCTCTGCTAACTTGCCTCTGATATTCTTTTTTAAGAGAACTTTAATGCACCAACAACACCTTATTATTTTAGTACTAACTCCAATATTTAATTTCCCTTTGGGATTAATAAAGTATTATTTATTTGAATTGAATTGAATAAAATTATTTTAAATATTGCATCCTTTTACTTTTTCATCTTCATGTCATTTTGTAGTACGTATGTGTTCATGTGCACCGTCTTCTTTGGCATTATACCACTAATAATTAGACTCCATCTCAAAAATAGAGATAATCTGAAGAAAATAAAACTTGTAGATGTGGCTCTACTGTTTTAGATGTATTGGATTGGCAAACTGTTTGTAATATATAATTTATAATTCAAATTTAATAATACATTTTGCATCTAATCAAAAAGTGTCATATTACTTCAGAACAATACTTTGCAAATTATGTTAGACTTTCAAAATATCCAAGAAATTAAAAGATTCATTTTCTTCTTTTTTTTTTTTTGTATGTACATTTAATTTATTTTTGAGGCTCTCACGTCCGGTTAGTTAAAGACGTCTATACTTGTGTTTTGTTTTTCATTCATCAATCAGTGGAATTTGGTAGTGCTTCATTTGCAAAGATAAAGATAAAAATGAAAACTCCACACTCCTGAATTAAAATGATAGCAGAATGTTTAATTCGCTACCCTAACCTGCAGGCATCTTTTCCTTCATTTTTATCACTTTACATACATACAATAATTTACAGAATTTAACTGGCAAATGTTTGTAATTTAAATACATGTAACTATGAGTTAAGGTGCAGTAAAGTGCTTTAATATTATGCTTTATTTTTGAAAAAATATATCAAGCTCCTATACACACAAACACACCCCAACTTGTCTCACTTACTGTGTGGGGCCTTTCCACTGACTTCCATAGATTAATTAAAGGTATAATGAAGATTGTTCTTTTTCCGGGTGGATCATCTAAATAAGGGGTCCACCTAATTGTCAATCATTCTAATGATGCATTTATGTAAGGCTGTCCTACGTCCTCATCACCAATTAGCTGTCTTTTTCTGCGCATGTGCACTTTTATTTGCTGAGACATGGTTTCAGCCATTCATTGATGCTCACCTTTCTCACCGCGGTTCTTTGAAAATGGCCACGCATCGTAAAAGAAAAAGCGTCTACGAAGTGTATGAGAAGAAAAGAAAGGCCTCTGAAGAGAGAAACAAGACCAGAGTGTTTCTGGGAGATTCTTTCAAACGATGGCGTACAAGGAAGCAGAGGTCAGGCTTCCCACTGATGCCACGGTTGCAAAGTTTCTAATCGACAGGTAAAGTTTGCCATGCTGTTTGGAGAAATCCATTTCACATCACTTTTAGCAAGTTATCTACCTCTATATTTTAACTCTTTAAGGGAAGATTATTTTATTTAATTTGTAATTTGTATCATTAGTAGTTATATGGTGGCCACAGATCCTTATTTACCCAAATATGTCCACATTTCCACTGCAGCACGCACACACATTCAAGCATTTCGTGATTTTTTTTTAAATATAGCAGTATTTTTTTTTTTATATATAAATATGCATACGCCATACTTATATATAACCTTTTCATAAATAAATATGGGTGAGGTTAGATCCATCCGAGCGACCGTCTTATCATTTCGTACCCGTACATCCTTGAGGAGAAATGGGCACTGTGCATGCTCTCGCACGTGTTTAATAGGCATTCCCTCTCTGATGTGCATCTTTTAAAAGACCAAAGTGGTCTTTTAAAAGATTTAGGAAAATCCTCCACTATACCTTTAATTCCATTAATTTCTACAGCCTAACCGTGTCCCTCACTCCAAACCTATTACAGGTTCAGACGTGACCCTAACCCCTACCTAAAATCTATTTAAACCTTATTCCTAATTGTGACCCTGACCAAAAACAGCATTTCCCCTCGTGGGGTCTAGGCATCTGACCTGCCACAAAGAGCAGTCGGTCCCCCTAATGTGCTGTTTTTCCAGAAAATGGACCCTACAGTGTATTAAAAACAAGTATTCCACACACACAAACACACACGCACACGCACACGCACACACACACACACACACACACACACATAACCTTTAATGTTTAAAACCATTCATTAGGATTTACAGCATTTAACGCAGTGTCCACAGAATTCACTGATTTTACAGAATTACCATGTAATTTACTTTTTCAACATCCCTGTAAATCCTTATGAATGTTTTTTAGACCATACAAGTTATTAGAAGACCCAGCAAGCAGTTTATTGATGGTAACACTAATGTATTTTAGTTAGTTAAGCAAATGTGGATTAAACTAGTTTGAGTCAGTCAGAGGAGATCTTCCACAGTCCAGAAAAATTCAAACAAAACCTTTATTATGTGAATTCTGTAGAGTTCTGTAAGCGGTTTTATCTTTAAGATTGGATTTTTGACCTTCTTCTATCTGCACGTGATCCTTCCTTATTTTCATACATATAATCTTTTTATTAGCTAGACTGCAGGCTGATATCAAAGATAAACATATTGTGTTTCTAGTCTCTGCAACACGTTTCAATTCCTTAACACAAATGCAAAGCTACATTATGGCACCAGTAGATTTTGTGCAAACATTAAGCATATTATGCCCTCTAGTGGTAACATAGTTGATGTTGCATATTAATGGTCTCAAGAACTTAAATTGTGTTTCTAAAAATTAAATTTTCTTCATGAGATAAATACTGGCTTTAAAATAAAGGAAATACATACATTAATTTTTTTTCAAGCAGTGTAATTTTAATGCACAATGATCAATATAATGACGATTCTTCTTCTCTCAATGCCCTAGTACAGTGAATCATGCAAGCTAAGAGCTCAGCTTCTAAAAAATACAGCACTTGGAAAAGAAGCTAGCAACAAAAAAAGCAATAGAAGATGTATTCAATCATTTTTCATTGAGTTTGGTTTTACATTTAAGTCTGGATAAATCAGGAAGCCAGAGAAGGTGCTGTCATCCTCACTGCTGGAGTAAACCCCGTTCCAGTCTCTCAGAGTCTCCAGCCACACCTGGTCGCCCTCGCTGAGCTGAATCAGCACAAGGTTGGAAGCCTGATCAATGTCCTGGCCGTAAAGAGAATCTCGTGACCTCACCTTCCGCATCCCATTAACCACCAAGGCCACCCGCAGGGGCCGGTTACGCACCGTGATGTGATAAGTGAGCAGGTAGACTCCTGAGTGAGTGACGTTGAACTTGTGCAGTGCTGGGTCCCAGTTCCCATCCCCATTATAAAAGATCTTATCAAACTTCACAGGCAGTCCAGGAGGCGGAAATGACCTGCTTGGGAACAAACCCACACTAAAAGCAGAGCGAATTGGCTCTAATCTCTCACCTGGGTTGCCTTTTGGGCCCCGAGGGCCACGTACACCTTTAGCGCCCCTCTCTCCCCTAATTCCTGCCATTCCCCTTGCACCTGGAGGCCCTCTAGCACCACTGTCTCCCTTCTCTCCTGGTACCCCCCTTTCCCCTTTTACACCGTCAGTCCCATTTGCTCCAGGAGGGCCCATCTCACCTCTTGGACCAGGGGGCCCAGGATCACCAACATCACCTTTCTCCCCCCTCTCACCAAGTAAACACTCTCCCAGACGTCCCTGTTCACCTTTCTGACCCTTTGTCCCAGCTGGTCCTGGGGGACCCATGGGGCCAACAGTGCCTTTAGTTCCATTGTAGCCAGGCTCTCCTTTCTCTCCTGGGTCTCCTTTCAGCCCATGGATCCCATTTTCCCCCTTTTCTCCTTTGGGGCCAAAATCACCTAAAGCAAGGGGAGAGTTTATTCAAAAATAGGAGAGAAATGATCAAATGATATGTACCATAGGACACACTTAAACTGTCTACATGCATGTTTGTCCAGTGAGATTGTTAACTCTGTAGGGAAAGAAGATGTAAATAGTAATCATTATTGAATATATTTTAGCAGTGCTATTACCGGAAATTCCCACCAAACATACAAATAGAAAAAAAAAACAAAAAAACATTCAGTTTATAAATGATGCACAATAAACTGCAATAAAATAGGCAAAACACATGGAAGAAGAGAAGAAAGACAAGAACACTTTATCTACAGAGTACTGTGGAGTTATCCACAGAACTTTACAAGAGATCAAAGGAAAGACAATGAAATAAAAAAAAAATGTTATTTTTTCATTCTCAGAAATGTTCTGTGAAGAAGTCACCATTTAAATTTTGCTCAAAAAGAGAGCTCAATAAGTCAAATTATTATAATAACATAAAACAACACCTCGCTTTAATTTCATGCATTAGCAACTGGGCTGAAAGTTTATTAATGAGCTCATCTGATTGAAAGGTGTGTAATGTTTTTGCTTCTTGAAAGGAATTAGCAGTTTCTGTAAATCTTTGTTCCAGAGCCGAGGGGAGTAGAAAATAAATGCTACCTTGCCTTTTTCAGTTCTGGTCCTTCAGGCAATACTAAACTTGTCTATGATGATCAGATGGATTTACATAGTTCATAATTATCAAGCAAAGTATTATCATTCAGTCAAAGACCATTCAGCAATTTGTAGATTATCTATCTCCTTGAAAACAGGAAGGCTGTGCTCTGACTTTAGAAAGGGTGCAGTATGATCCAACCTCCTGGTGTTGGTGTGGACTCTGGCAGCTGCACTCCAATTATCATGGTCATTAAAGGCATCATCTAACTTAGGGGAAAAATGCAGCCAATTTCCTGCACAATAGTTTTGATTGAAAACTCTTGAAGAGTTTTTGGGGGAAACTAATACAGACAAGCAAAGAACCAGCTGAAATGTGTCAGTATTAAGAAAATACTCTTTACACATTTCAGTGCAAAACAACCTGATTTAACTGATGGGCTGTCAATACATTTTCCATTACCAAAGAATTGCAGAAGAAACATGTCATAATGAGATGGTGAAAAAAACTTGCTTAACACCTTTGCAACCTAATTATGCAAGTGCTAATCCTGAAGTGGGAAGAAGGTTACTTTATCATAAACCAGCTATGACTGGGCTCCTCCTAAGATTATTTGACTGAGGAATCAAAACTAAAAGCTGGACTTTTCTTACAAAGTTTCAGAAACAGCTGAAAGGTCCAGTTTTCCTTAGGAGTAAGAAGCAACGCACTTAATCACCATGGCCTTTAATCTCACAATAACATACAGAGCGATTGATCAAGGTTATCTAATACTGGTAGAATATAAACAAGTTAGAAGGGAATTTTAGTGAAATATTTTCAATAAGAACTTGAAGATGGAAAAAGTTGGATTTTTTTGTTTATTATTATTTAGGACTTGATCCAAAAAACAGAGCAAGGGGAACTCAACTTATTTAAAGGGATAGAAATAGTCCATTGAGCAGATGAATATATTTTTAAAAATCTTAAAATTAAAAATAAAAAAAAATGAAGGGAAATAACTGAAACCCATGCAGCATAAGATCCCCACAACCAAGATGTAAAGAAAGGGTCAGATTTGCACCAGAGCAGTGTCATGTAAGGTTCTTGTTAAATTTAAGGTTCTGGTTAAATTCAGTATGTAGACATGTTTGATACTTACTGCCTATTTTATTCTTCTTTCTAAACATTAAATATGGGCCAGTTTGTGTTCATTTTGTTGCATGTTTGGGTTTTCGTGAGTTTTTACTGACATTTTCTATTTCCAAATGAAAAGAATTAGCATGTCCTTATTTTGATAAGTGATCTTAAAAGAATTCACACACCTTTCTCTCCAGGTTTTCCTGGGATACCATGAGAGCCTGGTTGACCCATCGGCCCATGATCACCCTTTTCACCTGTGGAGGGTTTCGTGGAAAGAAATGCAGAAATATATTTTATACACAAACCAGGATTTTGTGACAAGCAAACTTCTTGTCTAAAAACTATAAGAGTCTATTTCTGTTCATTATTGCCCTACCTTTGTTGCCATTTAATCCATTGAGCCCAGGTAATCCAGTTGGTCCTGGAGGCCCCTGGGGTCCTGTTTCTCCTTTTTCCCCTGGCAACCCTAACAAAAATGAAGAAGGGTGTTGTTTTTGCCCCCAGAAAGGGATTTTCTTAAAATGAATCACCAGCCTTACCTGGAGGACCACTTTCCCCCGACGGCCCTGGTGGCCCTCTCTCTCCAGTCGGCCCTTTGGGACCTTTTTCGGGTGGGCAGCACTCACAGACATTGAAGAAGCATTCATTATAGTCAAAAGAATAATTCCCATGGGTGTTTCCAGGGGGTGGCATTGCATCAGTGTGATACTCAGCCTGGAAGGTGTTACTGTTGAAGGTGCTGCTGTCCGTAGGGGACAGGGAGTATGCATCAGTCATAATCCCAGTTGCTCCTTCTGTGTGCAGGCTGTTGGAAGGAGAGGGGGCTTTTGTAGCAATCGGTCCAAACCTTCCTCCCCCACCTAAACCAATGGTCCCAGTTTGTGGAGGCTTGTTGATGTTCTGAGGTTTGGGCCAATGTGTGGTCCTGGCAGCAGAAGTCAGTGTAATAACGGAGGCCATAAAGACAGTGGTCACCAGGATGAGATCAGGGGATGGCATACTAAATGATTAGGTTACAGTTAGAAGGTGCATTACTAGGCATCTATAATTTAAGGATTTGCTAAATTTCAGAAAAGCAGTTTAATTTTAAAAAGTCTATCAAAAGGTTCATTTTTTAACACACGACTTATGGGAAGGGGTTATGTCTTCTCTGTCAGATAAATCAAAAACAGCATTTCATTTTGCATAGGAGGTAAATGGAAGTGATCTGAAAGATTTCCCAGTGAGCAGGTTCCAAGACTATAGGAACTGCATCCATGCCAATGTTGTTTTTCTTTGATGGAGGTGTGATAAGAGCGGAAATTATGTTACAATTTACCCAAATGCTCAAGACATTATTATCAATTATAAAGAGCAAAACTGCTAAGTGGAAGAAAAACAGATCCAGTTTTTTTTTTAACATTTCTTTTACATTTGTTGTTTTTAACTACATTATATTAAAGTAAACACTTTTTTTATTATTATTATTTGCTAGTTTGCACTGATCTTAGCTATGGAAAATAGGTTCACAATTTAAACATAACCACACCTTTTGACATTAACCATTGCTCTGACTGTATATTAAAGGTTTTTATCCTCTCAAAAAGGGAACTTTCTGGAAAGTATAGTTTTTATGCAAAACTACAAATACCTTAGGTGTCTTTCAGAATCTGCAGAGCTAAATGGAATGTTTGAAAACTCTGTGCTAAGCTCCCAAGGGCTACACAATGCTGTCAAACTCAGAGGACACAGGCCATTGTGAACACACATATAACAAACCATGATGCCTTTTTAGTCTCACTTCTCTTTATTGAGTGCGACAACACTTTCAAAAAAGCTTTTCTCTCAACCAAGTCTGCTGCTACCTCTAGAAAAAACAACTGAAACTGTAATAAAAAAGAGGAAGTTGTTGTATTGAGAAAAGAAACTGAGAAATTTTGTGTGGTGAAGATTTATAGAAGTCATGGTTTGAAATAACAATGTTGGATGCGGACTTTCAAAACAGAACTCTGTAATGATGGCCTGTTTTAACAAAAAGTAGATTAAAGTTATATGCTAGTTGTCAAGGAAAAATACAGCAGCCAGTATCTGTGATTGTACTGTTTGTGAGGTAACCATTGATTTAGATAAATTGAGCTGCGCCTGAAATACCATTTATACATTCCAATTTAACGAGAAAAATACAATGAAGGAAATATTTTCTTCAGTTATCAAATAGTTTAGAATTGGAAAGAACGGGAAACTTGATGCATAATATGACAAAGCTGTCTAGCCTACATATTTAATACACAGGTTTCCATCATCAGAATTTCTATTTCTTACATTGTTTTTTATTTATAATCCTCTTTCCACTAATACTCTTAATATCCCCCAAATTTTAACATCTGCCTTAAATAAAGATTGTTTTCATCGATTGATTTAAGGTTAACTTTAAAGTCTAATTTGATGATCTAGCAAAGATTTAAACAAAATCAAGAATCTATGCACATTTTACCTGGTGATGTAGACTATGATGATCCTCACTCCATTCCAAACAAGCAGCAACTGGTGGTGTTTACAGCCCCCCCTTTTTATTTCAAATGCAGCCCAACTTCAGCACCTTTAAGCCAAGGTAAGAACAAAACAGAGGGGGTTATCAGGAGGTTGGTGGGCTGGACTGAACATATTATGTGACTCTGTATTGGTAACAAAGCAAGCTGTGAACAAAGAAAGACTTTCTTCTTTGTAAATAGGATATACAGTGTCCCAAGAGCACATGAACTATTAATGAGTTATCTACCATCTACCTGTTTTCATGAAAACAGTCAAATATACATAGAAAAAGATATATGTGCAGCATGCATTTTATTTAGACATACAAGCTCAAACACAGGTTGAAGGGAAAACCATCTCATAACAAAGTAAGTGTAAATAGTAGCAATCACACCTTCTGGCACCACCTCAAAGCAGATCAATGGATCAGTGCACACCTTGTGGGAGGAGGATCAATGTCCAGCAACAGGTGGCAAGGTAACACTGAGCCAGCCATTTATTTCCTTGATCTATCATCGGGAAAAGATCCCCTCAGAAAACCCAAGAAGCAAAGTGAAAATGAAGCACCAATGAACTGATCTCTTTGTGTCAAAATGTATAACATTAAAGTTAAGTTTCCACGGACAAAGCCTTTTCAGGTTTTCTCTTTCCATCATTCAGCTTCCTGGCAAATCTAAGAGTTCAACTGTCAAGATTTAACTCATTATTTACAATCAAAGAGTTACTAAACAGAAGTCAAAGTTTGCTGCTGAATCTCTAGATTCCAATCTTGACTTTACTGGAATATTCTAACACAAGAAAGAAGTTTGATCGAATACATACTATTATGGGTTTTGTTTTTGGGGTTGTTTGTCCTGCTGGGAGGCAAACCTCTACTTCAACCTGAAGTATTGTTTTGCTTCTAACAGGTTTTCTTTCAGGACTATCCTGTTCCTATTTTCTTATAAACTCTAACTAGCTTCCTTTAACCCGTTGACATGCAGAATACCCACAACATGACGCTGCACGAACAAGACTTTAATTTTATTTTTCATTTAGGAATGGCTTTGGGCCACTCTTGCATAAAAGCAGGATTAGCTGAATTTGCCTTTTGGAGACAAATTCTGAAATCTGAGCTTTGACCCTCTGAAGGTCACCATTAAAATAAAGAAGGAAGGTTGTTCAGAGATATGAGAGTAGAAAGAATATTCAACTTTAAATGATAAAAAGCAGCTTTAGTCAGGATGTTCCTGGGTTTGCCCAAATACATAAGAAAAAATTTCACTTTAAAAAAGAAAAACACAATGCTGCTCCAAACTAAAGATGTTTTGATTATTTCTATGTAGCCCGAGTTAAAATTTCCTGATTATCTGTAGGACTTTTGGAGCGTGCAGCCAAATTCATGTTTGAGCTTGAAAAATGTGGTTCTGGGATTTCAGATTCCTCAAGCAGCCCTGCATTAACAAACATCATTCATCAGAATGTGGGCTCACATTATCAGACAATCGGCTTTGGCAGCATTTCCAAATGTTGTGGTACCAATGATAAGACGTTTAAATCCTCTATGTCATCGTGTCTTTCATTCCTACAGGCAGGAATTCTAGAAAGAGGTGAGGGTTCCAGCGTACTAATTTGGCTACACAGCTGCATATGAATGCATTTTATTTTCCCCTAAATAGGAGAAGAACTGTATACTCAACTACATTTTGAGCAATGAGCTAAAAGTCAGATTTGATAAGATTTACAATGTCACAATCCACCTAACATAAAGCATTAAAAAGGGGAGATTGCAAAGTAGCTGAATTTACATGCAGCTGATACTTTATGTTCTTCCAACAATGCTTATCAGGTAATAATTATTCACTTAAAGTACACATTATTTCTTATTTGTTTTAATCACACAGCTGAGGACAATACATTTTTAGACTGAGCAGCAAAGTTGCGTGGGTGTGTTATGGTTATTATATACTTTCGAAATGTTCTCTTCCAAATTAGAGGTTATTTTTCCACTGCTTAAATAATAATAATAATTGAACATAATTTATCTCACAATGGAGAAATTCACTTCTGCATCTTAACCCATTGCCTTGGGGAGCAGTGGGGTGCCACTGCACGGCACCTGGGGACCAACCGGGGCTTGAGGGTCTTGCTCAGGGACCCACGGTGCTGGCTGTGGGGATCGAACCAGGTACTTGCAACCTTCTCAGAGCAGAAGCACCCCACACAACAGACATCAGAGGAAACTGTCCACAACCTCAATAGTCTGATATCTTAAAGGCTGCTACATATTCCATGAGATATAATGCTAAGTAGCTTAGTCATAAACTAAAAAAATATTGCTACTGCATTGGCATTTACTTAATCATATTTAATTTATTATTAATTAAATAAATTAAATTCATTAATTAATTTAATGCAATTCTGATTAAGTTAATGCCAAAAACTGTTGCATTATTTTTTTCCAGTAAACATTATTTAATGCATTCAGAAGTGTGTAATAACTAGTTACATTTACTTGAGTAATATTTTAAAAAGAAAAGAATGAATAGTTTTGCAGCATTGTACTGTTTATTTTTACTTGAGTAAAAAAAATGATAAAGTATCACCACTCTTATTTTAAAAAATTCTGCCTGCTCCATCCATTGTGAGAAACTTAATTTAATGAAAACAGACCTTTTTTTTTTTTACGCAAAAATGCACCACTGAGAGACACGCTTCCTTCTTTTTAATGCTGCAGGCTTATGGATTAAAAGCCATTGTAAATTCTCAGTCATCCGGGTCATGGCAACAACAAAAACAAAGTTCATTGGAAGGCAACCAGACGTTTGCTCAGTTTTTTCCCTCTACTGAGCCTGCCTTGTCATTTGGAGGCTGAGGTTGGAAATTTTATACTGTAATTTAATCTATTGTTACATACCGTAAATATTAATTCTGTAATTTTTATAACTCAAAAAATTTATCCTGAACAGTGTTCATTCCACCTAAATTTTAATGTGCAATCACTGTATGTTATATATTAATTTTTATCTTATTCTTTGAAAGACCAGAATTTCTATATCACTTAATATTTTCTTTAATCGTACATAATTTTGTAAAATATTCAATCAGTGTTGTGATCATGAGTAGAAGGCAATCAGTAACTCTGTACTTGAGTAGCCTTTAACCAAATACATTTTACTCTGACTTTATTAAATGCTACTTTTTACTTTTATTGGATACAAACATGATGAAATAGTGCTACTTTTACCTAATTACAATTTTTGGGTACCCTACTGACTTCCGGTTGCAGGTAAGCAAATGTGTATACATTGGTCACTTTGGTACAAAGCTCATCCCTCAAATGTTAGATGAGGATGAGTCCAGGACTGCAGACAGGACAATCCATCCAACAAACTTCCTTTCCCAAAAGCTTATTATTGATGACAGAGAAAATGTAAGTAACATTTTTTCAAGGGTAAAGCCAAAGATGCATACACAACAAGCCAACTTTTAAATAATCATACATTTATTATATTTTGCACAAATTTTATTTTTGCAAGCATAAAACAAACTTGTATTGGTAATGATACCAAAATATGCTTTTGCCCTGACATTCTAAATCAGACATGCAGGCCTTATTTGTTCAAATTTGTCTATATTGATGATGTTTGAATGATTTGTCAGACTACTACTGCTAATGGTTGGGAATATACTGTAGAAAAGCTTTGTGTGGCATTCCTGCTGTGCAGTTGAGAGATTGTTCTTCTTCTTAAGCAGTAAATGACACAGGTACTTATCTTATTCCACTGCAATGACTTAAACAATAAAAAAATAAGTGATGTTTTAGTGGATATTTAATAGTGAATGGTGTAAATAACCCCAGGTGTTTATTATAACATTTCATTCTGTTAATAAAATGGACCATCTTCAACTAATTTATTGAGGTTCTAAAATATGGTAGAGTTTTTCTTCACTATAACAACAACAGTTCTATGCTGGCTTAGTTGCTTAAAGAAAATGTTGTAATAAGGGGCAGAGCTAGATAGGGGGCCTTAGTCAATTATTGGCCACCGCTGTGACCACTCCTACCATTTTTTCCCCTCAATACAGATGGTGGCAGCAGAAATACTCTCAAGTGGAATATTCTAAACATTAAAGTACATAATTCATGCTCTTTTCAGAACTAGATTTGGTGTTATATGGGGTAAAGAGAAAATTATGTGTCTGCAAGTCTAGGAATCTTCAGTGAAATCAAAGATAAATAACAATTTTAATAAAAACTTATCAAATAATCAATTTATGTAGATATTTGTGCTTGTAAATATTAATTTTATGCAGAATATTTATTGATACAAGTAGGCAAGTAATGAAAATGGAAAAGATTTACGCCCCAGATCTCAAAAATGAAAGGGTTTTATCAACTATACCTTTTATCTAGAAATTATGGATGTTTAAATATATGCGTCTATTTGTTAGCAAAGGCTGTAGGAAAGTATAGTTTGTCTTTATTTAGAAAATATGGATGTTGTGCTCGTTAATTTTCCTGTTGGAACAGAGGCGTAGCAAGAAATTTTTTATAAGGGTTGCAATAACCAATGTACACTGAGGGGTGGCCGAAAGCGGATAGGCACCAGAACCTCAGGGTCAGTCTACACTGTTCCAACAGGAAAATTAACGAGCAAAACATCCATATTTTCTAAATAGAGACTAAATATACTTTCTGAAAGCCTTTGCTAACAGATAGATGCATATATTTAAACATCCATGCTCCCTAGATAAAAGGTATAGTGGATTAAATTCTTTCAGATGTAAGTTCTGGGGCGAACATCTTTTCTATTGTCAGTACTTACCTACTATTATCAATAATCATTCTGCATAAAATTAATATGTACAAGTAATAATATCAAA